AGTCGAAAACGCCAACCGAACGATTGTGGATGGTCTAAAGAAACGGCTGGGAGAAGCAGGAAGCAAGTGGCTGGAAGAGCTCCCACACATCGTATGGGCATTCCGAGTAACACCCAGGAGGGCTCACGGGGAAACTCCATTCTCCCTAACCTATGGGTGTGAAGCAAGGCTGCCCATCGAAGCTGAATTCCCCACGTTTTGGGAGTCAAATTATCAACCCCAGCAGAATGAGGAAGATCACTTGGCCGAACTCAACTTGGTCGAAGAGCGGAGAATGGCCGCGGAAGTCAAAATGAGCACATACCAACAAGTTGTGAAGAAGTACCATGATAACAAGGTCGGGCCGCGATACTTCCAAGTTGGAGATGAAGTCCTACGAAGAAGAGAAGCAAGTAGACCCGGCGACGGGGGAAAGCTAGCAAAAAACTGGGAAGGCCCGTATAGGGTTAGAGCCATCATTCGCCCGGGGACATACCGGTTAGAAACTCTTAAAGGGGTACCGGTAGAAAGAACCTGGAATTCCCATCATCTTCGCAAGTTCTACAAATGATTATAATACTAGGCAAGGCCTACTTTATTATCAATCAAACTGATGATGTTCAATACTCTATTTGGTAGCGGCAGGATTGATAGGTCGAACCTATCCTAGGAGGGCTTCCTGGGTGGATCGAATCCACTTGGCTAAGCCAACTGAGACACAGGCCCGGACCTGGCACGCTGGTTACTACACCGGTCTTGCTCAGTATAATAGAAAAAATATCAAAACCCGGAAGAGGGTATGCCTGCAAGAGGGCTGGACCTGGAAGAGGGTTCGAACTGTACTTACACGGGCCCATGAGGTTTGACTGGTGTCGGGGAATCAGCCGGCGCCGTCAGATTGATTGGGGACTAAAAAGATGCCCATTAAAAGAAATAGAAGGGGATCGTCCACCGTGGCGCATCCTATATCCCCCTTCTCAGGGAAGACTTGAACGGGGGGTGAGCTAAGGCCTTCCCGGGATGGTAGAAATCAAAGGG